GCGTAAATGATAATCGAAAGCTTTCCTCTAGATTCGATTCCGATTCAGTCTCCGATGTGTATTCTCTGATCGCTGAAAATCCTCTCCTCCGCATCTTCTTACTCGCCGGCGACTGAAAAAATCATGGTATGTTTATCCATTTCCTTCGACCTCTGCGTTATAGCTCAATCGTCTTCTTCAATCCTAAACACTCATTGTTCATCATGACTGATACCGATACCTCCTCGATATTCAGTGAATTTATTACCTCTTTATTCTTAAATATTCAATCAGGTTATCGAAATCTGACCTCTTGAATGTAGAATTACTGTGCGCGATTCGTTTTCAGTATATCAATAAGCTTCTTATTGTTTTGATTTTGCATTATTCGTCTCGAAGTTTAGACCTCTTGTGATAGATTCATGGTGTTGGAATGGCTTATGAGAATGTTCGTCAACATCTCTGTATGTGTGTGTAATTGTCACCAATAAGTGTTTTTCTGTTGAATCAGGCTGATAGGAGAAACAGGTGTAACCAGGTCCTCCTTTTAGCATATCAGAGTTTTGGATTAGTGTTTGGAGACTTGAGTATTTCTCCTCTTTACGTGTATAAATGTACATTCTACGGAGGATTGAGACATCACCAAACAGAAGATACCATATTTGGCGCCTTTTCTTTGATATTTTGGACCATAACACTCCTTTCACTCATCAAGTACATGGTTTTTGTATTAAGTGCAGATGACAATGGTGAAGGTATGAGCAGCCGTTGCTAATCGAATCCCAATTTGTTTTCTTTCTTCTCATACATAGGTTAGGATGTAAAAATGTTTGGATTTCTGTTGCAGGAGGGATCTTTGCTTTGTATGCTTTGCTCTGTAGACACGCAAGATTTTCTTTGCTTCCAAATCAGCAAGCGGCCGATGAGGAAATCTCTACGTACTATGGTCCTGGAGACGCAAGTAGAAATTTGCCTAGCTCTGCTTTCAAAAGCCTTATAGAACGAAATAAAAGATCAAAAACAGCTTTGCTTGTCTTAGTCTTGGTAGGAACTTCCATGGTAATTACCATCGGTGTCCTTACACCAGCAATTTCAGGTAATTATGCACCCCCTTGTTTCGCTTCTGTCTGGTTGGATAGTGTGTTACCATTTTTATCTTTTCTATGGTTTAGCATCTAACATTATCCTCTTGTAGTCTCTTCATCTATCGACGGTCTTGCAGCCAAAACAGGACTAAAGCACAGTAAGTAACCTTTGCTATTATCTTCCATAAAATTAGTATAGGTGCAAATCATAGTTATGCATCTGGTTTATATACGTTTTACACATTTCGTCATTGTTATTTACATTTCTTTACCAATCTATTGCTTGCCTAGGTACTGTGGTCATGATAGCATGTGCTTTGCTGGTTGGACTTTTCGTTCTGCAGCACCGTGGAACAAATAAAGTTGCCTTTTTATTTGCACCTATAATGATTTTGTGGTTGTTGTCAATTGCAACTGTTGGTCTGTACAATATTGTGACTTGGAACCCCAGAGTATACAAAGCTTTATCTCCCTACTATATCTACATATTCTTTAGAGACACGGGAAAAGATGGATGGTTATCCCTTGGAGGCATTCTTTTATGCATCACAGGTAATATGGTCATTTATATTCTGAAAGTAGAGACTCATGAAGTTTTTTTTATGCTAGATAATGTTTCATATCGGCATTTTTCTAACTTCAGGAACGGAAGCTATCTTTGCTGAACTTGGACAATTTACAGCTACATCTATAAGGGTATGTTAAGCACAGCTTATTTGGTTCCTTAACTTACGGAGAAGAAGCCTCTTAGAGATTATTTTCAGCAGTACCTTAGTTATATCATCTTACAGTTACTAGAAGATTTTTTGTTGCTAAAAAGATTCGTAAGCAATTGGTGATTTAGGGACTTTATTTTTGACCCAAGGAATAAGAAAAAACTATGATACATTATCAAAATCTGGTTATTGTTATAGTTATTTGATAGCCACGTTGCTGGCTAATGAAGATGAAGAAACAATAACATAACATCTTGCATTCTCATGGTTCTCTGTATGCAGTTTGCGTTCTGTTGTGTTGTTTACCCGTGTCTGGTGCTTCAATACATGGGTCAAGCTGCGTTTTTATCAAAGAATTTTTCTGCTCTACCAACAAGCTTCTATGCCTCCATTCCAGGTAATCATTTGGTCAATCTCTATTTCACGTCTCTTTTTCCTCTACTCCGTATGACCTCTATGAATCCTTCCAGTTTTGGATAATTTCACTACAAGTCCCAAAAGTATCACAATTTCTCAAATATACTAACCTGAACATTTTTGCGATGTTATAGTGGTGGGTTTTATCCATAGTGCATCTTTAGATCCAAAGTTTCTGGTTTTTTCTTTTCTGCAAGTGATGTGACAATTCATTCATATGCTTCTCTTTGCTCGTGTAGTTTTTCATATGGTCATATCTGTTTTGCTCTTGTTCTTTAGATCCATTTTTCTGGCCGATTCTCATGATGGCTATGCTGGCTGCAATGGTTGCAAGCCAGGCCGTCATATTTGCCACGTTCTCGATTGTCAAACAATGCTACGCATTGGGATGCTTCCCGCGCGTGAAGATTGTTCACAAACCAAGATGGGTCCTTGGCCAAATTTACATCCCGGAGATCAATTGGGTTGTCATGATCCTCACCCTCGCTGTCACCATTGGTTTCCAAGACACTCGTCACATAGCTTTCGCTTTCGGTAAGGGCGTAACCTTCCATCAAACTCTAAATTCCATCTTTGATCATTATCCTAATTAATCCTTTGTTCTCCAGGGCTCGCCTGCATGACTCTAGCCTTTGTGACAACTTGGTTGATGCCTCTTATCATCAACTTTGTTTGGAACCGTCATATCGTCTTCTCCGTCCTCTTCATCCTCTTCTTTGGGACCATAGAACTCGTCTTTGTTGCATCATCCTTAGTCAAAATCCCTAAAGGAGGCTGGATCACCCTCGTCCTTTCCCTCTTCTTCACCTTCATCACATACGTATGGCACTATGGCAGCAGAAAGAAGTACCTATGCGACCAGCATAACAAGGTCCCTATGAAATCAATCCTAAACCTCGGCCCGAGCCTCGGAATTATCAAAGTCCCTGGGATGGGTCTAATCTATACTGAGCTCGCCAGTGGTGTTCCTGCCACCTTCACTCACTTTATAACAAACTTACCAGCGTTCTACCAAGTTGTTGTCTTTGTCTGCTGCAAAACTGTACCTATACCGTATGTACCGCAGAAAGAACGGTACCTTATTGGCCGGATTGGACCAAAAACATACAGGATGTACCGATGCATTATCCGAGCTGGCTACAAAGATGTGAACAAAGACGGAGACGACTTTGAAGATGAGCTTGTGATGAGCATTGCTGAGTTTATCCAGCTAGAATCCGAAGGTTATGGCGGGTCAAACAATGACCGCTCCATCGACGGTCGGCTCGCTGTTGTGAAAACTTCAAACAAGTTTGGGACAAGGCTGTCTCGGTCTATATCCGAGGCCAATATCGCAGGCAGCTCGAGATCACAGACAACAGTAACAAACAGCAAATCGCCGGCTCTGCTTAAACTGAGAGCAGAGTATGAGCAAGAGCTTCCCAGGCTAAGCATCAGAAGGATGTTCCAGTTCAGACCAATGGACACTAAGTTCAGGCAACCGCAGGTGAAGGAGGAGCTCTTTGATCTGGTGAACGCTAAGGATGCGGAAGTGGCTTACATAGTCGGGCACGGTCACGTGAAGGCGAAGCGGAACTCGGTGTTTGTGAAACGGCTGGTGATCAACGTGGCTTACTCGTTCTTGAGGAAGAATTGCCGGAGCCCAGGCGTGATGTTGAATATTCCTCACATTTGTTTGATTAAGGTGGGCATGAACTATTACTTGTAAGTGTTGTGATTAAAAGAGTTTCAGTTACTAAAATTTCTCTGAGATTTTGTGTTTTTTGGTGGTTCGAGTTTTATAAATTTGGATATGGTGAAATCATATGTTTTTTCTTTGTAGTAAGTATTGTTTACACAGATTCCTATTTTATTTGTTGGTAACTTCGACTTGGTTAGGTTTCAGAAAAAATTGGTAATCAAAGCTCAGATGATCAATTTCAATGTAGAAAAAGGAAATTGTAAAGACAAATTAAAAGCTGTAATGATGACTTCTGTCTCAAATTTATTAAAAGTACAGACATAAGAAACAAATAAAAAAGCGAAATTGTCAGAAGTGGGATTTGAACCCACGCCCTCTTACGAGGACCAGAACTTGAGTCTGGCGCCTTAGACCACTCGGCCACCCTGACTGATGATGCTTACGTCTACCCTCATTTGAAATTTAACTAAACACACAAATAAAAAGTCCTTTTCACACATTCCGATTTTAAAATGTTTAAAAGTTCTCCTGTCATGATGAATCCTGCAATGTACCGGTGATGGATACAAGAGATCCTCCCTACTAAAAAGTTTTGATTGATTCCTTCCGACTGGATGAAAATACAGCAAGTTGCTGTCAGAACATGAAAGCCTCTTACAACATTTTTCTAATCAATTAGTAGTTTCCGGAGACATTGTTTTTAACAACCAAAAGAGGAGAAGATCGACGAATAACAACAATTTCACCTTCCATCCAATAACATTAACAATCTTAAACACAAAATTGCAAAATTAAAACATCTTGAAATTCTTAGTTATATAGAGGAGAGAGAACCAACCAGTACTACTTTTATCCCACCAACAATGACATAAACCACAAAACAAAGTATCAGTAATAGTCGAGGGGAATTCCAAGTTCATTCACATAACCGAAAAGAGCCACCTAAAAACCGCCCGAAACAAAATAACATATTAAAAGATCTAAACACATAACTTCGGCACCATTTCACAACACCCTTTTGCTATCGACGAATAACCTTTTCTTTTGTAAAAACCTAATCTCTCTTCTTGTTCTTCAACGGTCCCAATGGGATCTTGCTCAACACCTTCTCGTCCAACACTGCATACTGCTTCTTGATCTCGATCATTGCTTTCTCACCTAATGGGTCGATTTTGTCTTCATATTTGTCGTAGACAAGAGGAACCGTGAAGAGCAGGACAAGAGCTGTAGCAGCAGATACGATTTAGTCATCAAGGTTCAATGAGATACTAGAAGGAAACCATTACACGGTATGGAAGATTAAGCATTACCTATGTATGCCAATGTCAAGAAATTGAACCAGCCACCCAAGATCGATAGAACCCACAAGCCGGCAATAGCCTATTCAATCCAACAGTCATACATTCATGTCAAACATCAGGAAAAACATAGAAAAGCACAAGTCCCCCAAACAGTTTCTACTCGGTACTGTTGAACTTACAGAGAGGAATTTCTTGAGATCCCTTCCAGATGCGATTTCACGAAGCGAAGAGAAGCCACGGTTGATCTCGATTCTGAGCCCAGACGCAAGCTGAAGAAGAGGCTCTTCAGGGATATGAACTTCAGGAATCTTTGGTGGGGACCTGACAGACAAAGAATCACTTGTCAACAATACAAAAAAGCGAAAGAAAGATATCGAGCATGTACAAACCATCCCAGACATATATACATTCATTAGACTGGTGATTAAACTTACTTGTTAATGAACATGGTTGCATTAGACCATAGAAACAGCACAGCAAGAACAACAATCATCACATGGCAAAGCAGAGTGAGAAGATGGTATTCCATCAACTCAAAGAGAACCCAAGCGGCCGTAGCAGCACCAAGAACACCAGCAGACATCTTCTTGTTCTTCCACATGAATATGTCAGCCGCTGCAAATACGAAGAAATCAAGTTTGTGCAAACATTACATATACAACTATCCATTGAATCAAAACCACAGTAGAAAACATGAAACTTCATACACAAACAACAAGATCATATTAAACTTTTTAGATCACGGATGATTGATCCAGATTCAACCCACAAATCGTCATGAAAGTAAAACCCCCTCTTAAGAAAACCTAACAGATTCGCCTAGATGAAACAGATCAAGCCATATAACAATAAATCGCATGAAAAACTGAAGAAAATATAACCAGATCGGAGCGAAACGTACGCTTTCCACCGCCGAGAACCTTATGCACAGGCTTCTCCCTACCGAACAAGCGGTAAACCTTGGATTTCATGGAAGTCGGAGAAGACGG